TTTCTCTTTCCCTCTTTCTTTCTCCCCTTCTTTCCTCCAGTCAAGTCTGTCCCGTATTCAGCAAGTGAAAATAAAATAAACAATAAAAGGTGAATCAAATGGACCATTATGGCAAGGCTGGGATGGTCAATTTGGTAAAGTAAATCTGTTGGGCGTCTTTCTTTGCCTTTAGACAACAATTCTGATGGCAAAAGAGTCAAACGGGACAGGCAAAAAAAACAAAACAAAAAAATAAATTTTTTTTTCCAGAATACAGGGGCCAATAGAGTCAAACACACTAATGAAAAATGATGGAGGAAGTACATCAAGGTGGCTTGAAGTCAGTTTCATTCAACCAAGCAGAGCACTGATGTCCTGTAAGGTAACAGGAGTAAAAGAGGACCAGGTATCAGAGGTAAGCAACGTGTCAGTGTGATACTGAGAGGATGATGGAGAAATATTAGACCTGACGGCAGCGACCTTATTAACAAAATAGTTTAAAAAGTCATTACAATCAGATTTAGTATAGACTGGTACATGAGGAATATCAGGAGAGACAATGTTTTTAATTGTATCAAACAATACTCTGGGATTTTTCTTTTTTGAAGCTTTTAGATTAGCAAAATATTCCGTTCTGGCATTTTTTATCATGTCGTTAAGTGAGAAAATTGATTCCTTGAGATGTACCCTATGGACCTCAAGCTTGGAAGCCTTCCATAAACGTTCTAATTTGCAACAATATCTCCTAAAATTTCGAATATTTTCATTTATCCAAGGACAGAAATTTGAAGAATGGACAACATTTAGTTTCAGAGGTGCCACCGTATCTAAAATAGATTTACATTGATTATTAAAAGACAAAATAAGTGAATCCATATCATTTTGAGCCATGCGAGGGACAAACATGGCAGAAAACCTTCTAGCAGCATCCTGGTTTATAATCTGCCTTTGGATCATCAATTTAGGAGGTGAAGGATCCACGTAAAATGACAAATTAAAGAATATACAACTATGGTCACTCACATGGACATCTTCCACACATACATCATGTATATTTAAACCCAGGGAGAAAACAAGATCAAGAGTGTGGCCCTTTGTATGTGTGGGGCCAGAAACATGCTGCTTAAAGTTAACAGACTCAGTGATAGTGATGAGCTCAGCAACAGTGTTACAGGAAGCGTCATCAATATGAAGGTTTAAGTCTCCCAATATTACAACCTTCTCCAGTTTAATGATCGATGTCAGAAGGTCGTTAAATTCAGTTAGAAAGACCCCAGCAGGTCCAGGAGGTCGATAGATTAAAATACAGTAAAAGGTTTTCAGAGAACCGACCTTCATCATCTGTGACTCAAATGAAGAAAAGAAGTCCGAGGTCATCAGTTTGCATATGAGTCTGTCCTGGTAAACAGCAGCAAGTCCTCCACCACGTCCTAAACGACGCGGAGTTCCAATGACAGAACAGCCAGACGGGCAGATTTCATTCAAGTGGACATAATCCTTATTTTGCTGACACGTCTCAGTCAGACACATAAAATCTAGAGACTCTTTAATAAAAAGATCATTTAGAATAAATGATTTGTTTGCTATAGAGTGAACGTTTAGCAGGGCGAACCGAATTGATGACGGTTTATCTGCAGAATCTACAGCTGACTGCAGCGGTACTTGAATTACACCTGTGGACCTGCTGGGCAGGGCGGCGACTCCAGAGTTGGGAATACCCTTGATCGATGAGCAGACGTAGCTGTCACCAGCAAAACGGAAAATGGATGACAGACACAGAGTGAGCAAACTGCTTTCGAGCCATGGGGCTCGGGTCCCAGGCAAACTTCCCCAGCAAACGACAGGAGAGGAATGAATCACATTTTAACTGCAAAATATTCACTTACTCTAATATCATTTATTTATCATTCTGTGATTTGACAGTTAAATTTAAGATGTTCGAAATGTTTTCAGAGCGCTCTCATCAGTCTACAGTGTTTCTTTGGTGTTGGTGTGTCTGTGAAACCAAGTATAAAGAAGGAAACTGAGAGGACAAAGACAAAGAGACAACTCTGCAGTGAAGAGAGAGCAAGACCGGCATCGTGGGAAATTAGGTCAGTATGAGGTCACTGATGTTTACATTCACACTCTCCTCCAGCCTGCCTGACAGCTCGCAGTGTGTGTTACATAATTGGCTGTGTGTGTGTGTGTGAGATCCCTACAGCAGCATCAGTAACACCTCCTTTCTCACAGTCTCACTCTCGTTTCTGATTTTTACACTTTCAGCTGGAAACAGACACAAAGCTGAGTGTGAACCTCTCCGGTGTCAGAAGATCTGTCTTACCCGGGGAGGGCGGCTGGATCTTGGCCTGGAGTGACGGAGGTTTCTTGGCGTCTCCGGCGGGCCCTGCGGCCTCGGGTGGTGGCTCCTCGCCACGCTCCATCTTGCACTCATAGGCGAACAGGTACTGGATGTACTGCTTCTTCAGCGAGCTGGCTGAGCTGCTGGACGTCCCCACGTTTAGCAGGGATGACAGCTCCCTCCACTTCTTATTCTTATTCACCTGAGAGCCACAACGGGAACACGGATTCAGAGACAAGCAGATGGCAGGAACGCACAACCAAATTTATTTACCGATCGATCTCCACGACCTAATGAATGAGGCATTAGCTGAACCCTGAAGGAGGAAGAAGAGGAAACAGAGACAGAGAGAGGATCCGTGCTGCCTCACCATGGCCAGTCCTCCAATGTCACGGACAGCCAGGTACAGCCTGCAGAGGTCTAGTGGCTTCTTCCCGACGGCGGGCAGGTTTGGGACAGGCGTGCCCCTCTCGTCCATGAAAGACAGGTATCGGTCCACCCACAGCTTCCTCTCTGGCTCAGAGCCCATCTCGTACAGCCGGGTGATCTTCTCGTTGGTCATGGTGGCCACGCTGGGCTTCTGCAGAGACACAGACAGCACCTTCAGCTTTCCATATCACAGAGGCGGAGCCAACATGTCAGAGCTGCAAAGGAACCTCTAAATAAGACCGACACACCCACACCTGTCTACAGGTGACAGTTTCCAGCACGTCAGTCATGAGCGGCACTTTAAAACCACTCAGACAGATCTGTCCACGTTACTAATAAACATCCACCAGAAACTCCGAATCAGAGTTCAAGAGGTCAACATGGCAGCAGTCGCTGGCGTGGAGGGAGAAGCACCTCAACCCTCAGCTTTTTGCTGCTTCATCCTACGAAAATCTCAGATCTCCAGAAACAGGTCAAAAAACAGGAAGTTCAGATGAGGTGGACGCCTGCATGACTGTGACATCACCGTTCAGAAGTGAACGTTAACCACAGAACGATCTTCTGTGACTTTTAATATAACTACCAACTGCCCCACCCCTCAGGTCTGTTTCTTTTGCTGCTCACATGCTACATTTCATGAAATTAAGCAAATGAACTCAATGAATGATAAAGAAATGGACACAAAATAACATCTGAACCACGCGGATTCATCTCATGCGGTTTGTGTCTGAAAAAAACCGTCTGCAAGTGACGGGATCCGGAGTCAGAGGTTTTTCATCCACGAGCAGCAGGAAGTGTCGATGTAATTAGTGCAAACTGTTGTTGTGTTTGTGCGTTGCGCTGCTTACCGGGCTGCTCGGCGTCCTGAGCCAGGCGGGGCTGCTGATGCCATCGCTGTCCTCGCCGTGACAGGACGACAGGCTGGCCGAGCTGGGGGACATGGGGCAGGGGGTGGGGGGCTGGGACACACACTGTGAGCTGTAGTCCTGTGATACAACACAAACACACACACACACATATCAGAAGGAGTTGTTTCTTCCTCAGGTTTTCATTCTCACAGCCGGCAGCAGTCTAGGTTGGAGCACCTGCAGTTAGCCAACAGCAGAAACAACATGTCTGCCAACAGCTGGTTAAATGCAGAGAACCAGCCGCTGCTCTCTGGTTAATTACAGCGAACACTGAAGAGTGTGTGTGTGTGTGTGTGTGTGTGTGTGTGTCTTTGTTAGAGACGACAGGAAAGGAGTGAAGACACACACTTGTGTGGTTGGTTCTCCTTGGTTTTTGGTGTGTGCTGCTCTGGATGTGAAGCCTTTGTTAAACTAACCACATAGCCTGGTACGGTGGCCCTCAAGGACAAATCAGGGAAAGACACAAAAAAAGCAGCACGTTTGTAAGCAGAGTTGTTCCGGCGTCTCTTGTCATCATCCTGTATGTTCTCATTTCAGTGAAACGTGACTTTTGGCAGCTCTCTCCACCTGTCAGTGCTCATCAAGCATAAAACCCGTCCTGTATAAAATGTCACTCAACACAGATTCAATAAATGCTCACGCTGATGAAGCCGTCTCCTGTAGGTGGTGACGGTTTACGCCGATCGGGTTTCCTCTCGTTATCGAGGGAACAAGAACAGACGACTCGCTTCACTTTCCTCGTTTTCTCACATCTATTTTGAAGTTTCTCTGACAGTTGACATAAAAAACATCACCTAACTTGTGGAGTGTCAAACCGCTTGCGCATGAAACGCAAACTGGGAAAAATTAGCAGCGGCGGCGTCTAATGAGGAAGCCAAGCTGAGACTCTCCTGCAAACAAAGCAGCCTCCGCTCATCACCTGAACCGCCTCGCGTAACCCCGACTGCCACAAACAGCTCGGCAGCGGATGTGATCAAGGCCGACACTTCGCTGTTAGATAACGAGGTGAAGAGAGTCAGAGAGAGCAGTGAGGAGGAGGAGAAACTCTGCAGCTGCTAAGCCGAGTGAGGAAAACAAGAAGAAACAGACAAGAGAAAAGAGAGCGCAGCTCTCCGCCTCGTGTTGGTTATTTTGGGTTTCTGTTACTCTTCCAAACCAGCTGATGAAGCAAAGACGGGTTCAGGTGTAATGAGTGGCATGCTGCTAGGAGTAAACTGATCAGTGCTGTCAGCCATGATGAAGAGAACTGCCCGAGAGGAAGGGTGAAACTTGGGGGAATCGCTCTCCTACCCCCAGCTTCATTCTCACAAACACAAATAGATCCCGTTTGCACGTTAGCGTCAGCTCAGCATCTGCTGCCACACAGCCTTCACCTTCACGGCAGTAAGCCTTAAAGGCCGTCCACACATACAGACCGACAGAGAGCCTCAGAGATGCAGTGAAATAACCATTCTCAAGGTAAACTCTTTAAAGGATACCGCTGACTGTCAGGTGACAGGTTGGTAAGTATGTTAGAGTCCACAAGGAGCCAACCATCAGCACTGGGTGGGGCTTAAGGCACTGATGGTTCAGCAGTTCATTGGATCACTTCCTACAGGAACCGCCCACAGACCTGCCGTCCCCGACACGCTCAGACGGGCTTATCACTTTTTACAAATTCTCTGCGGATTATTTCCGTTTTCATCACATCAGTGTAAAAAACAGCAGTTAACTTGCGGCAGGTGCAATTTAATGACATCATCAAATAAACTTCCGACTTAAACTGTGGTAAAATCAGAAGAACTTCAGTTACGAAGAGGCTAAGCTGCTCTCACGTTAGACTGGGCGCTCGTGCATCTGTCTGAGCGTGCTCAGAGAAGAAAGCTCTCTTTTATCCCTACTGCGTCTTGTCTCCTTAATGGCAAATAATTGTCCTTGAACTTTCTGTCATTATTATTGTTATTATTATTTTATAGTATTGTTCTGTTTATTTTTATCCTCCTGCTGCTAAACTAAACTAATTTCCCCTTGTGGGACAATAAAGACATTGAATTGAATTGAAAGCCAGAACCATGACCAAGCAGCTGCTGTAATTGGTTAGTAAAAAGCCAAAGAGGGGTTTGTTACAAGCAAAAAGATTAATCGCACTAAAATGGGAAAAGAACAAGGAAACCGAGTATCACACAGTGGAAAAAACAAATGATGGTGGCTTTGCCATTGGAGCAGATAACATGTATACTGAAAAGGAAATTGGATGGTTTTGAAAAGGTGTGGAGACCATTTGTGAATTTTGTAGAAGGATTTGTATTATCTGAGGAGGACGAGGACTGAGGGCAATGACATTTGATTTGGGATAATGATAAATTTAGGCCTTTAACGGAGTGACAAATCTGATGACTTTTTTGTTTTCTTTTTGCTGTCTGACTGTTTGTAAGTCATTAAAATGTAAAAAATAATAAAGATATTGTTGGGAAAAAAAAATCCAAAGAGAGAAACCTTGGGTTTGGGCTCTCCTACAGGACCAACACCCTCTTTGCTCAGCTCCACCCTTTGCTTGGCATCTGCGTGAGGACCCATCCCTTCAGCTGGCATCATCACGGGGCCTGAAAGACCAAGAGATCAGAATTCATAACCTCCGCAACGTCCAACCAGTCTCTGACAGGTGCTCAGGTCTGCGTTCCTACCTGATGGTGGGGCACTGTAGGGGGGTCCCTGTGGCGTCATCCTCCCAGAGTTACTCCCTGGCTGTTGACTGTAAGGACCTCCAGGACCTGCGTGGCCTCCTGGACCTCCAGGGCCCATTGCACCCAGCGGTGTCATGCCCGGGTAGCTGCCCTGCCTGGAGAGGAAAAAGGATAAATGACCATTACAAAGGCGTGGAACAGGCTGGAACTGTGTTGTTAGAGGAGCCAAAGAAGCAGAGCTGAGGGCTTAGCAGGTCAGAGCACTGACCCAAGCAGGTTTCCATCCAGAACAAATATTAATCCAATGTCCAGTTTAAAACTGCTGTTGTTATATTAGAAATTTGCTTGGTGGGATAAATAGCAGGTGGCGCTGGTACCATTTAAGCATTGTAGAAGAAGAACATGATGTTTTTAAGAGAGCTTGAATCAAAGTTGAAACATGTTGTGACTGTTAGCTTCAGCTGTGGGTATAAAACAGCAGCAGCAGCAGCCAGCAGAACCACAGAAGAAGTAGTTAGTAAAACGTGTCATTAACCCTCTGTGAGCTATAGCAGACCCTCACAGCTGTCTGCTAACAAACCTACCCATAATGCTCAGAGGGGGCCTGCACAGCAGGCTGCTGGGGCTGAGCACTGGCACTGAGCTGCTGGGAGTGGTGCTGATGAGGGTGGGTAAGAGGGTGGGAGGGGTGGAGGGTGGGAGAGAGGGCAGGTCGACCGGTGTGCCAGGATGGGCTGTGGTAGATGGGTGAGCGAGCGAAGGGAGGTCTGGAAAAATGAAAGGAGGATGGAGGGAGAGAAGGAACAAACGTTCATCAGTCTGAGCCCAAAAATCAAAAACAAGCTTCATCACAACTCAGTCGGCTCCACAGGAGCGCCGGCTTCGTCCTCTGGGAGTTTTCCATGGACACACTGGGAGGTTTGAGCAGATTTAAACTGACTCTAGTTTTTAACCCCTCAATAAGAAAAGTTAGGATGAATTAAGAACTAACAGCATCATTTCACAGATTTATATTTAAAAGCTGCTGATGATTGTGAGGACCAGGCCACCTCACCGAACTGTAGCTAAAGCTCGGTGGGTCAACTCACCTGCTCTGATTGGCTGCTGTAGACGGTGCTGATGATGAGTTGGCACCGGGTCCGGTGGTTGGGACAACCTCAGGTGGCTTACAGCTGGTGTTGGGTCCCGGGGGCCCCATGCCCTGCCCGGTGGCCTGCGGCATGCTAGGTGAGGTCGGGGCCAATGTGCCTCCTCCTGCAGGGTAAGGCCGCCCACCCACACCGGGCCCGGGGCCAGGACCACGGCCCGCTGGGGTGGACGGGCCCTGGCCGTGCATGGGACTGCTGGCGTTCAAGCCCAGGCTGTTGGCCAGGCTGGAGCCCGCGCCCAGGCCCGGCCCGCCATAATGCGGGGGCCGCGGGTAGTTACCTGAGTAGGACCAGACAAGTTATCAGAGATGCAGTGAGAAGTTAGAAAACAAAGTGTTTTTGTGATTTAACCTACCTGGAGGGCCGTACTGCCCATAGGAGTGGCCGGCCTGCTGGTAGGAGCTGTGGTGCATCGGCCCCCCCGGCCCTGGGTGAGGGGTCATTGACGAAGAGGACTGCTGGGGCCCAAACTGAGACCCAGAGGTGCTGCGCTGCATGGTGGGTGGGAAACCTGGAGATGAAGATAAAGGTGGTGGGGGGAAGGGACAGGGTTAGCCTAGCAGTAGCTTAGCTAACATGACAGACTGTAAAAACTCAGAAACCATGAACCTTAAACCTCATTTAACCTCAGACGCTCACATACAAAGATTTAAAATGATTGGTTAATCTACAATAACTCAGTTGTACTGGTGACTTGTACCTCTGTCCTGAGTCATGGCAGACTGGGAGGAATGGGGACCAACATCTGGACCAGGACCTGAGACCTGAGGGGGCATCTGAGAGCCTGAAACAAACAGAGTTGTTACTCCACAGGAACATCAAACGCATCACAGGACCTTGTGATAACACTCATAACTGTGCTCCCACCTGGTCCGCTGGTGGCGGGGGAAAGAGGTCCGGATCGCGATTGGCTGCCAGAGGCAGCGGGGGATGGGGAGGGGGAGGGTCCGGTGCGAGGTGGCGGAGGGAGGCGAGGGGAGACGTGCGGGGAGAATGGAGAACGGGCTGGAGTCCCCTGGTCGCCCTGAGCACTGCCGGAGCCCGATCCCCCCGAACTCACCACCGCCTCTGTGCCAGTGGGCAAATCATCGATGGAGCCGGAGAGGTCCTGAAAGACAGCACAGAGCAGCAGATGATAAAACACCTGTTGGACATTTTTCACACTTGTTACCTGTTTGCATCAACGCAAGTGACTTCTAAGGACAGAAAACGGCCGAGTGCTTTAAACTGAAGACACAACCTCAGCTGACTTCTGTGATTTATGATCATAGTTTAGTCTTTTCCGACAAAACCTGCCACACAGTAAACTGACAGAAACTCATATGTACCTGCACTGAGTGAACCAACCACAACTAGCAGCTGTTCTGATGCACGTTGGACTTTAGCTTTCTGTTTTATTTCTTACTCGTCTTCTGGTGAATCGTTACAGCCGCTGCTGCTCGGTAAATGACATCAGTAACACCCTCACAGGAGGATCATTGACCGCTCTTTGGTGCCGGCTCGTAAACGCCTCCTTCAGCAGACGCCATAATAAGGCAAGGAGGTGGAAACGTCCCAGCTGTAGCACATTAACCTCAAAGCAGCAGAGCTGAGTGGAAACTGCTCTGAGTCTGCAGCTTCTGAAGGAGCGAACGTCACGGCAAACCTCGAACAGAGAGGTCACCATGGACCTTGGTGCAGAGAAAATGGATTTCTAGCTGCGCTTCATCTGTTTTTGATTAACAAGAGCTGACTGTAAGTCATGTACAGAGGTGGAAAAAACCTGAATATTCACTCGTTAGTGTACAAAATTGCAAAAACTACAAGGAGGAACTACTCGCCAAGAATTAAAGTTTTTTTTGGCTGACTAAAAAGAGGAAAAATCAAAAAGGCTGAACATGAACCTACAGCCAAACACAGCACTAAGGAAAGATTCAAATGGCTGCATCTGTGAGTCTGATTGGTTCAGAGCAATGTAACGGCTGTCATCTGTAAAAACGAGGGTTCATGTGCACACCAATGAAGGAACGTTACACCCCAGTTGAAACCTGCCGAGTCTCCTCATTTCAGTCCACCGAAAGAGTCATTTGGGGCTCAGCGGACAGGCGTCATTAACACTGGACACCCTCAACTGAGAAAGCACCTTTGGATGTGTCCCAAAGCCTGCTATGCTCTCTGGATAGTCGTAGAACACCTATTTTAAGGTTTTTCTTCTTATAAGGATTTATTATTAGTCCCAGTCTCTTATTACAAACCTTTGCTGCCATCAGCACGAATCATGCCAGCTAAAAGCAGGTGAACTGTGTTGTCTTAAATGCAATCTGGCCTCACAGCTCTGCTGTTTTCAGACTTTCATTAAGTTTTTCTTAAAACATGAAGGCTACGCCAACTCCTCCACTGTCTGTGCTCCACATCTCCACAGTTTCAAATTCAGCCTGGCTGTTTTTGTTTGTTCTTGGAGGAAAAATGTGAGTTCTTTGTGGAAAATGTAATTTATCAGGAGAGGCTGAGTCCGTAGAGTAAACAGAGGACTGGACTTTAAAGCAGAAACACATCAGTAACAGAAATAAAAGCAGAGCACCGAGCGGCTGAGAGAAAGAACAGGGAGGAGCAAGCGGAGGTGAAGGAGCCGCCACGGAGCGACGTGCTGCAGGTCGGTGATTTATGGCCGTAATTACCCTGTTTCATTAAAGCCTCGCAGGCTCTGATTGGATGAAGAGAATTTTCCGACCTCATCGCTCATTCGGAGTTTTCCTGCAGAGAGAACAACACGCTTCTCTTTGTTTCTCCAACAGGAGCGAGCCCTCTTCCTCCTCCTCCTCTAACAGACAGCACCTCCCTGAAACAGGTTCTCCATTAAACAGCGATGAACACCGCCGGCGTCATGTGATCACACACCAGAACAGAAAGAGTCAAACATGGAAAAGTGCAGAGGTGCGCTCCAATCATCTGATTGATCTATGGGGATCAATTTTAGAGCAGCTCACGTTTCATTTTTAAATCTAAGTACTTATTGATGATTGCAAGTTATGTTTTTATTGTTGATAATAAATCGGATTAATCACCCAGTCCTACTCAAAAGTTTAAACATTTTAAAACAGAAAGGGACCAGTTCGTGAGTTTGAACGACAAAAAAGATTAAAAACTGTGAAGCTATCTGGCAGAAACAAATCTGTAGACGTGGACCCGTCTCTTCTTCTCTGTCAGTGTTTCTGTCACGTATGTCTTTCCGAGAATTAGGGAAGCGTGTCCTTGTTCGCTGCTAGGTCAAACCCATTTACAGGCGTCAAGCGTTCTTTTCTTCATTTCAGACTGAGCAGACACGGAAAAATGAGCAACCGTCAGCAAAAAACAAACACATTTTGGATTTCTGTCACTGAAACATTGGGACTGAACATCGCCGACTCTGAACTGAAGTCAACTTATTAAAGAATCTGCGAGGCCTTCGGGTGCAGCTGATTTCTGCTGATTTTCTCCTCCTGCAACAGAGCCTTCATCTTTCCACCAGTAGTCGCCATGGCAACTGCATCAGCAGCACGACTTCAAAAGGAGGCTCCAGAAGATAAAGAGGAAAACAGCGAGAGAGGGGTGATGAGGCACAGCAACAGAGAGGAGAAGGAGAGAAAAGGAAGGGAAGGAGGACAAGCGAGCGTGAAGGAAAGAGGCGAAGGCAGTGATGGAGATGGGTGGAGAGGTTGAAGCAGAGCTGCAGCTGAAGGTGGGGAAATTAACAGACTGAAATCATCGAGTGGGATGAAGGTGTGACGTGAACTGAAAGTCACACATTGGTGTTCCTCAAGGCTCCATTCTGGCCTCACTGATGTTTCATAATGAGTTTAATTAAAGATGATGAGCTGTGCCATTGTTCTAGATTCTCTCATGGTGACGTCTGTGTGAGAGAAATTTGAGCGCCAACTTTTTATTATTATAATATGATTAGATGGATTTATAATCTGGGTTTTAAGTTCCCATGACCACTGAGATCTCTCTGTTTATACTGCAGACAGAGGTGGTGATGATGGTTAAATTGAAAACCTTTAATACACCTGGGCATTGTGAGAAGGTAACAACACTAAACCCTCACAAACAGGTGAAATCGTTTCTTTCATTTGGGTAAAGTTTGTCCAACGGCGAGATCACACGTCTCTGTACAAACAGGAGAAACACGCAGAGCCAACAACTACAGCGACCAAAAAGTTTAGAAATATAAATGAAAATTAGCCCTGGCTGTTAGGGCTGGGCCATATCATACCGTTCACGGTAATACCGGTATAATTTTGGGCAACAATAGAAGAATGAAATATCGCGATAGAATATGGGTAAAACGCGCATGCGCAGCGCCTTTGTTTTCATACGCACATGGCGGAAAAAGCATGGCGGCGAAAGCAAATCGTTGATTGAAACGGATGAACCAGAATTGGTTTGTAAAAATGCTGCAACTTCAGTGGTGTGGAACTGGTTTAGCTTTCGTCCGTCAGATACACAACAAAGCACTATTTTTGGTAGAGCGTGCTAGCGGGCCGTCGTTATTACCGTGTTTTTTGGAAAATACGGCACACTTAAAATCAATCCTTTGATTTTTCTGAAAATCAACAGTGCCCCTTATAATCCAATGGGCCTTATGTATGAATTCTGGTTGTGTTTACTGACCTCGAAACGATTTTATGTACACGGCGCTCGAAAATCTGTCAAATGTTTTAGTACAACTTTGCTAAGCTACGAAGCTGCACCACTTGATGGATTGTCGGAGAATTACGGCTATTGTAGGCAGGAGCCTCGCGGAGTGATACGTACTGTGCTTCAACATAATATTACCGTATTGTGTGTGTATAACCTCTTTTTAAGTTTTGTGGATATTATGCATGGTTATGCTGAGGATATGTCGGCCAGTTTCCACTGGAAATGCCTTTTGGTTAAACTGTCAGCAAGGAATTTACATTTGCACTGTTAAATTTTTATATAACTTTAATTCACATAAAACAGCTGCTTGTTTAAGTGAAAATACATTGATTTTTTTTTTTGCACTAATAAAGCTGTGGAGTTGTAAAGTATTTTGTCTCGTGTCAATTATATCATCAGTTATATCGTTATCGCAAATTTTCAAATGTATATCGTGATAAATATTTTTGGTCATATCGCCCTGCTCTACTGGCTGTCACGTCATCCTCCTCAAACACTCAGATATGTGTTTCTGCTTCATACACTTTTATTCTTTTATGGTCTCTGCTGTTTTTTTAATCATCATCTTCCTGATTTTCTATGGTGTGTATTCTTGATTACAATCTTCTTGCTTCTGCATCCACTGGTTTTGCAGCTAACCTCTGTAGTAACTCAGGATTCAGCCTGAAGTGAAATGTGGTGAATAAAATCAGTCTGAACTGACTCGTGCTCATCCAGCAGCAGAAGTGCTGGCTTGCTAATGGGCTGAGTCTTTTCGGGGTTAAACCTATTTTAAATGTAAATGGCGATTCCCTGCGAGAGCCGTCGCAGGTCGCCATCATTATTTCAGTCGTGTGTTTCTGAGTGGTGCAGCGACACAGGCTGAGGCGGCGGGGGGCCTCAGGCGCTCAGAGCGTGAAACCTGCGAGCTTCAACTCAGAGAAAAGAGGACGGCGTCATTATCGACAACAAGGCCGGCCTGCGGACAGTGGGGGGGCATGAAACGCGTTCAATATGTCACGCAGGCTGAATCACGAGCTATGAGCCTGACAACAAACAGCTCTTATTCTGCTAAAACCGAGTCTGCGGAATCAGAACAGGACAAGAAGTCGGGACTGAAGAAAGCCGACCCACCAGGAGGAAAACTGTCTGACCTCGACCTCCAAACCTCATGAACAGAACTTTCCACAGATCAACAGAACACAGCCTTAGAACTGCATTCAAACTAAACATTTATTATTATCATTAATATTTATTTTATTACAATAATAATATTTTATATATAAAAACCAAGTCTGATGCAGATCTGTCACCATATCCGATCATCACTACTCGATTATTATAGCCAAAAGCATTAATATTAGTTAATTATTAGTTAACTGAACACAGAGTCTGTCTGTGTGTAGTGAGGCACAGATGGGTCATCAGTTTTTTTAAGAAGTGGTGCAGGCAGATTAAGAAACTGCCCGTCCATACAGGAACGTGCCTGTTTGATAGAAAACTCCTCAGGTTGGGTTTGGTTTATTCTGCAGCAGGAGTTCGAGGAAGCTTTAACATAAAAACTAAACGGCTTTTTAGGCTGAATCCTGCTGTCCTTCAGATCCGCCATCAGTCAAAGACCAGGACAAGAACTCTGTGGTGTAGATGTGGTACTGACTGAGGATCAGTGTGTCAGCCCCACAGGATAAATTTCAGGTGAGTCTGATTTATGACCCAGGGTGACCACGACCATCACTCTACTCTTTGAACTCTGGCATGGTTTGACCAAACAGTGATGGGAACCATTCAGAGCATCCGTAATAATACTGGTATTAATTTTTATTGCTATTATTAAAGTATCATATTATGATATTAATGACATAGTGAGATCATATTGTTATGTTGCCTATTGCAACAAGGAGTAGGAGATGCTAGCAGCTAGTAATGAGTGACCCACCGAGCACCGCTGCAGCGCTGGACTATTACAGTTACTGATCCACTCTTTGACCCAGAGACAGCTGCTCACTGGGACAGAAGGATGGAAAATGTCCTTGTTTCATTCGCAATAGTAAATCCTCCTGCCTGTGAGCTGCTTTTTTCCAATATCATCTGAAATATTATCACAACCTTCTGTGGAATATTGTGATAATATTCTGAGGTTATATCGTCCATTGCTAATGGAAACTCTGGCTTGTTGTTGGTGATGAACTTTGTGCGTGCGTGCGTAGGGTTGGGGGTCTTTGTGCCTGACCAGCAGAGAGCAGCTGTGTGTTCGAACTCACTGGCAGACTGGACGGCCTCTCCTGTTGACTCAGACTCATCTCCTCGTGGTTTGGTTTCCCAGGAGTCATAGCGGCAGACTGGCCCCGGCCCCCGTAAGCTTCCTGCGGCACCTCCTGCAGGGTGACAGACAGACAAAGCATTTAAATCTTACAGGAACGAACGGCAAAAAAAAACAAAAACAAAAAACAAAGTCGCTGAAAGTTAGCCATGTTTCGGGCAGCTGAATTTTAGTTTTGTCTTCTTTGCACAGCTCAGATCTTTCTGTGTGGAGCCTGCAGGTTTCCTCTGTGTGCTCTGTTGGGTTGATGGTGACTTTAGATATGGCCTCAGGCGTGAGGCAGATGAAGTACATGGGATAATGTTTTCTATCTAAATCCTGTCTGAAGCCCCATCGGTGGCATTTTTGTGTTGATCGTGCGGTTGAAGCATCATATTGGCCGGGACATTACGTCTTCCTCGGTGCATAAAAGTGGTTGTTCTTCACATTTGCTGATTTTGTTTAGTTGGATTTTTCATTATAGATGTGTTGCATAGGCCTAGTTAAGTGGTAAACATGGACACTGGCCACAGTAATATGTTGGTTTCCTAAAAGACCCAATCGCACCAATTTGTGTCAATTTACAATTGCTCATTTGGTTTGATTGAGCTGTAGTCGTCTCTACATGAAGTCTGGATAAAGGTTAGCACCAAGTTTTCTTCTGTTCTCCTTTTTTAACTTATAATTAATAAATGGACTTGGTGAAAACCCGAGCTGAGCGGGTCTCCCTTCTCTGACGTGTCCTGAATGAGCCAGACGCAACAACCCATTCAGAAAAAATGAAAGACATCCCACAATGCACTTGTAGCAGATCTCAGAGAAGTCCTGGACATCTCTCGGCTGCAGGTGGAGCTGTGGTAGCTGCTGGGAGTCTCAAAGCGCGGCTCCTGCTGCCTGCTGCAGGTCAGAGTCTCAGCTGCCGTCTTGAGGAAGATGAAGATGATAAAACAGCAGCTGGAGGTCGGGGTTTCCCCATTGCCTGCAGCCAACTCCTTTTAAACACCATGAACGTCTGACATGGTTGAAGTGATCAGATAAAAAACAGACTCGAGGAGATGCTCTCTCTCTCTCTCTCTCTCTGTTTCATGTCTTCACAAAACCTTGTGTAACACGATCCTCTGAAGACAAAGACAGCCATGTTTGTGGAGAAAGACCAAATGAAGTAACACTTTAGGACAGAAACAGGACAGAAAGGATTGTCATTATCAGCAAATACAAACTAAATACTAAAGTTAATCTGGTCTTTTCAGAGAACTGAAGCTCAGCTCGATGCTTCCTTCATGGGAAAATTTCACAATAGAAGCTGATGAGGATTTACCTCGTCGCTGTTTAATCCCACCCAGCTATGAGCAGACCCCAGTGGACAGATCAGGTCTCTGGAATGCCGTGCTAAAGTCTCACTAACGTGCTATCCCGTGGCCTGGAGGAAATGGATGGATGGAATTTCTTTCTATTAAATTTATCTATTACTTCTAATGTCTGTGCTCTTTTAGTTTTTTCCTGCTTAATCCCAGTTTGGATACTGTTTTTTGACTTCTGTAGAACACTTCATGTCTTTTTTAAGTGCTACAGAGACAAAAGTAAGTGGAGCTTGCTAGCTGAAGGCATTTCAGGAGCCATTCTGAGATGTTTTGAACTTGTGAGGCTTGGAGAGTCTGGCAGCTTAAAGCTCTCTGGAGGCCTCGAGCCATTTCCCCTCCGAAACATCCACACAGAACACAGCCACACATCCACAGCAGCATCACAACTTCTTTTATATTTGACAGCATTATCATACAAATTTCCGTTTTCTTATCTTCTGAGTTCTGGTTATATGTTGAAGCCTCTTTCTTATTTTTCACAATAAGAATTGTCAAGAGGTTCATTCCCTTCCCTTTACTCCTATAAAAGGCTCTTATTGTGAAAAGATGTGCAGGAATTTGAGTGAATTAACAGTGAAATCAGAAAGACAAAATAAAGTTTAGGTTTGTAATCCCAGTCCTACCTGCTGTGGCAGTGGGCGGGGCTGCATGTACGGTGGCTGACTGGGGGCGGCGGGTTGCTGCTGTGGCGGGCTGAAGTACGGCGGCTGGCCCGGCTGGCAGTAACCGCTCATGTTCTGCTGTTGCTGCTGCTGGCTGTACTGAGAGCCCATCTGAGAAGAGACCACAGACATCAGAGACACAAGGCCAATCGATACTACCTTGTTAACACCACAAACACGAGGTTACGGCTTTGAATGGCCGATAGATTTCCACAGGCTAAACAGACAGAAAGACTCCAGGTCAGAAACATGAAGAGTGCAAAGAAATAAAACAAACTCAAATTTACAATTTGTATTCTTTAGCAACAAATCACGTCTTTCCTTTGTACTGTTACAGTAAGCATCAGCACGGCTTTAAAGTTGAATGACTCTTTATTTTGTGAAAAATCATCACCTGCATTAAATCCATGCATCCATGCAGTATGCAGCATGGATGTCGACATTTTACTTCTATTTTATTGAACAAAAGGACCAGAGCGGACAGTAAAGTGGGAACTGCATCCAGGACAGAAACATCAGCATTATGCTACGCAGTGTATGCAGAACCCAGTCCAGCAGCCAGAGCCCAAACTCATCGGGTAACACGCCGATGAGCAGTCAGGCTGCGTTTCTACCTGGTCATGTTTCTAAAGTAGAATCACTTGGTGACTGCTTCGATCACACAGTGATTTTACTAACTCTGGAAAAATAAAAATTCTGCAACCGGTTGGTGACTGATTGCTAAATATTGGAGAACTGTTGCTAGGTGACATTAGCTGCCAACAGGTATACAGCACTGCACTTGTGAGTACAGACTGCTGCAGTTTCCTACAGTTTATATGGAAAAGGCCGATTTGTTGTGTTTCTAGTTTGTGTTTCAGTGTTTCGTCATGTTTAGTGAGTGTTTGCAGACAAGTCAGTGTCTTCTTACAAGCTCTGAGCGACCAGAGCAATCATCAGGACGTTTTTAGCACAGCACCGTCTGTGTGAGCAGCTTAACCCGGCAACAGCCAGCAACCACCTGGGGAGGACAGATTTTTCCCTAGCAACCGAAGGTTACCAAGAGGTTGCTGAACAGTAGTTACTTCATATAAAGTTAAAATATAAAATTTAAAACACACGATGCTGTGTTACTATAGATGCAGCTGCTCAGCTGTACAGACGTTATGAAACGCCTATACATATTAATTAATCATAATTATAATAATAATAATATCAAATATGTTTCTGCATAATCAGTACTTATGCATAAACTTATATTATAGAAGCAGTACTGAGACTCAGACTTAAGCACAGAGTCTGAACACTTCCTTCAGTGGCTCTTCCTCACAGACGCTCTCAGTTTAACTCTTGTGCAGCCTCCTCAAGACGCCCCCAGCCTTCACTGCTTTAGCTAAAGAGTCAATTAAAAGCCAAACAAAAGCATCTCTGTTCCTCTAATGATAATAATAATCTGTTCTGCTCTACAGTGAAGCCGCTCAGGAATCACACACCGCCCTTTTCCTGGAAAGCGACCTCTAAATTTAATTTCCTGAATATCTCAGACTTCCTCTGTAGATCAGATCTGTTCTCATACTGGAGGAAGCTTCCTCCGGTCATAGACTTCTGACCCCTGACCTCGTGTTTTGCAGCATCACAGGAGAACCACATGATGACCGCCAGTATGAGCCACATTTCCGATCTTTAACACATTCCTCCTCTTAGACCCGATCTGTCTGCTTCCAGATACGCAGAGTGAAGAAGAGGAGGAGGCAGATGAAAAGACATAAATTCACTGATTCAAACTGATCATCTTAATTAGGGCTGGGCTACATCATACCATTCACGGTAATACCGGTGTAATGTTGGGCAACGATAAGAAAATGAAATATCGCGATAGAATATGGGTAAAACGCGCATGCGCACTGCCTTTGTTTACATACGCACATGGCGGCGACGCAGAATGAGAAGAGCGAAAGTAGATCGTTAAATGAAACGGATGAACCAGAATTGCTTTGTAAAAATTCTGCAATTTCAGTGGTGTGGAACTGGTTTGGCTTTCATCCGTCAGATACACAACAAAGCACTATTTTTGGTAGAGCGTGCCAGCGGGTTGGCGGCCGTCGTTATTACCGTGTTTTTTGGAAAATACAGCACACTTAAAATCAATCCTTTGATTTTTCTGAAAATCAACAGTGCCCCTTATAATCCCGTGGGCCTTATGTATGAATTCTGGTTGTGTTTACTGACCTCGAAACGATTTTATGTCATACACGGCGCTCAAAAATCTGTCAAATGTTTTAGTACGACTTTGCTACGCTACGAACCCGGACTGCTTGATGGATTGTCGGAGCATTACGGCTATCGTAGGCAGGAGCCTTGTGGAGTGATACGTACTGTGCTTCAACATAATGTTACCGTATTGTGTGTGTATAACCTCTTTTTAAGTTTTGTGGATATTATACATGGTTATGCTGAGGATATGTCGGCCAGTTTCCAATGAAAATGCCTTTTGGTTAAACTGTCAGCAAGGAATTTGCATTTGCACTGTTAAATTTTTATATAACTTTAATGCACATAAAAAACAGCTGCTTGTTTAAGTGAAAATACATTGATGGTTTTTTTTTGCACTAATAAAGTTGAGGAGTTGTAAAGTGTTTTGTCTCGTGTCAATTATATCGTCAGTTATATCGTTATCGCAGATTTTCAAATGTATATCGTGATAAATATTTTTGGTCATATCGCCCTGCTCTAATCTTAATACCAAACACAAAGAAAGAACAATACAGTATCCACATCTGAACCAAAGAGTAAAACAGTGAAATGTGGATTATTAAATATTAGGTCTCTCTCCTCCAAGTCTCTGTTAGTACATGACTTAATAATTGATCAACAAATTGATTTACTCTGCCTTAC